TGATTCTCTACAACTTTTCCATTGACACAAAAATGGGTTTCTTTTGAAAAAAAGTGCCCAAACTGTGACATATGACAATAGCCGGCGGTCTTCAATTCACCAACCCAATAGATTGAGATTAGCCTTGATTTGAGGAGAAGTCAATGTCGAATTTGAAAATTCGGAAACAGCCAGAAGAGATCCTTGAGCAGAGAGGGAAGGGGGTTATGAAAAAGCCCTGCGCCAGACGACGAGCGATTATACGGCCGCACAAAGAACACACAGAACACACAAATTTTAAGCCGAACTACTAATAGTATCTTTTTGGAAAATTGGCTATAAGCTTGATTTTTGATTCTCTACAACTTTTCCATTGACACCAAAATGGGTTTCTTCTGAAGAAAGTGCTCAAACTGTCACATATGACAATAGCCGGCGGTTTTCAATTCACCAACTAAATATTTTGTAAATCTCTCAAGATATCGAACAGATGTATACGAGTGTTATATATCATTCGAAAGCTGAAGATCTCCTCTACATTTTGATATAAAAAGCTTTGGAATTTGTTCAGCTTTTTGGGCAAATTGACTGCACAGAAGAAGGGGTGGCCAAAAAATGGAAGGGTGCCTTTTATGGTGTAAAATAACCGCCCAGAAAAGTAAAGATGCTCTGAAATTGTTATATTTAAAAACAAGTTGTATTGATATATCTATTGGCCAAACATCAAACGGTTAACTCAATTTGAGCGGAGCCAAAACTTGATCCAAAGACACCCATCCATTTTTTGACCACCTCTTCTTCTGTGCAGTCAATTTGCCCAAAGCTCAATAAATTCCAAAACTTTTATATCAAATGTAGAGGAGATCTTCAGCTTTCGAATGATATATAACACTTCTATAATCCCAAGAATTAAACAGCTACAATTTCCAGTCTTGACTCAACGACAGGAAAAGTGCTTTCTCCTTTTGGCGGCTGGACAGCACAAGAGATTTATGTGCATTTAGGGTAAAAGTTTATTGAAAAAAGCAATGCTTAATCTTAAGGAAATGAGAATTGAAATCGTTAAACCATCAATTTTATCGTTATTTTCTTTAGCTCATGGTCATCGACATGGTGCAAATTGTGGTTATGGTGGAGAGTACACGAAAGCTTCCGAAATTTTCGAAAGAAATTTGAGCGCTGTGCAAAAATTGATTTGTAAGTTGAAAAGAACGATTCTTTTTTTTCATATAAAATGAATTTCTGAATGAAAATTCGATTTTAGCATCTAATTTTGCTTAATTTTAGCCCAAGCAGGTCTAGGATTTGGCGGCGCAAAGAGGACAGGAGATGCAAAGGTGAGAACTGACTTTAACTGGCTTTAACTGGCTTTAACTGGCTTTAACTGACTTCTTTGACTGACTGAATACTGTAGATAGATAGATTCTATGATAATCTAGAGATGTATAATATAGAATTGAAAGAATTTCGATGATAAATGAGCTTTAGGCTAACCCAAAGCGATCGCACAAGCTAAAGAGCGGCTTTGAAGCTTTAAATGACTTCTTTGACTTCTTTGACTGACTGAATACTGTAGATAGATAGATTCTATGATAATCTAGAGATGTATAATATAGAATTGAAAGAATTCCGATGATAAACGAGCTTTAGGCTAGTCCAAAACGATCACACAAGTCAAAGAGCGGCTTTGAAGCTTTAAATGACTTCTTTGACTTATTGACTGACTTTGAATACTGTAGATAGATAGATTAGATAGATTCTATGATAATCTAGAGATGTATAATATAGATATGAAAGAATTTCGATAATAAACAAGCTTTAGGCTAGTCCAAAGCGATCGCACAAGCCAAAGAGCGGCTTTGAAGCACAACCTGAGGAAGTGCATGTGTCGGATGAGGTTAGTAAAGCAGAATGCTCTAAATAAAGCTCTAAATAAAGCCCTACCATATCGCCAAAGATCCATGTCGGTGTAGCCAGGGGTAGAACGTTTGCTTGATAAGCGAGGGGCAAGGTATGGGCACAGGTTAGAATCCCACTGTTGCTCATTTTTTGGATTCCCAGCCTCAACTAATAAGAGGATCAACTGGTGTAATAGTTTCAATGGTTGCAATGGTTTCAACACTCCAAATGGAAATAGAGCTGATGTTTTACTATTTCATTCAGAGCGAATCTTATCTCCAGCAACAATTAGATGCGAAGAAGAAAGAGCTTGAGCAAATCAATTCCGAAAAAGCTGAATTGGAGTTGAGGTGGGTAAAATGAGTAAATTGGTAGGATTCTTAGGTTATCAGGTAGAATAAACGGTCAACTATTAGAGGTGACGATAGACTAACTATAACTTATTTAAGTCGCAGCCTCGGTAAAGCTTTATTTCGAGTTACGCTAGACTGAATAGGATGTTTTCTTTGGCTGGGATTACTGTAGAGAATGAAATAGATTGAATAACTTTATTAATTAACTTTATTAAACGACTCCGCTGAATAACTCATCTACACAACTCTTCGTTATTTTACAGTCTGCTCTTCCTTTACAGTCTGTTCCTCCTTTACAGTCCGTTCCTCCTTTACAGTCTATTCTTCCTTTACAGCCCGTTCTTCCTTTACAGTCTATTCTTCCTTTACAGTCTATTCTTCCTTTATAGTCTGTTCTTCTTTTATAGTCCGTTCTTTCTTCACAGTTCGTTCTTATTTTACAGTCCGTTCACGTGATGCTCTTCGATGCAAAAATTGATGTTAATAGCAGACAAATTGTGGTCGACGGAATAAGATCTGCTGAGAATCTAGCAGATTTTACTCTGAAAATCCTTCAGAGGGTAAAATCTGCTGAGAATCAAACAGATTTTACTCTAAAGGCTCTTCAGAGGGTAAATTCTGGTCAGAATCCAGCAGATTTTACTCTGAAAATCCTTCAGAGGGTAAAATCTGCTGGAAACTTGAAATAATTAATGTTTTAAATAGATTAAATGAATCTATTTAAAAGTACGATAAATTAAATATCTTTTAATCTAGATAACAATCTCTTTTTCAATGCAAATTTCAGACTAAAAGACACCGAGAATCTCTTGGAGGCGCAGAAAAGAGAGAATGAAGAGTTGAGGACGAATTTAAACGAAACATTGACCCAATCAGTTCCGGAAATCATTATGTAATTGATTGAAATCAAGTTTCCAAAGTTTATATGCCGTAGCCGCTTACGAAATTCAGCCGCTAACGAATGAGGGTATTTCCGGGCATCCAATCAAAAAGTCATCCACACAAAAAGTGTTCATAATACATATATTTTATAATAAATTTTGAAATTAGCTCATTTGGTTCAGTAGAAAATTTTTTTGAGCCCCAAAGTTTAGGTTTTTGAGCCTAAACTTTGGGTGGCTATAAAAATTTCTACTCAGCCAAACTTGCCTAATAGCTCATTTGTAGCCAATTTTATGTAGTTTCTTAAAGTAAAGCTACATTGAACATTTGTTAGGAGAAAGAGGGCGAGGAACGACTTCAGTTGAACTCGGTTGCTGTTTTCACATTTGAGAACTGCCCTGAATTTGTTCCTCGCTCTCTTTCTCCTACTTTCAACGAAAAATTGTTTTAGATGGCTTTACTTTAAAAAACTACATCAAATTGGCTACAAAATGAGCTATTAGGCAAGTTTTTAGCTGAGTAGAAAATTTTTATAGCCACCCAAAGTTTAGGTTCAAAAACCTAAACTTTGGGGGCTCAAAAAAAATTTTCTACTGAACCAAATGAGCTAATTTCAAAAATTTATTATAAAATATATGTATTATGAACATTTTTATTTGGGTCACTTTTTGATTGGATGCCCGGGAATCCCCTCATTTGTTAGCGGCTGAACTTTGTAAACGCAACGACATATATACTAAATTCTTTTTAACTTTTGAAATTAACTAGTGAAATTAACTTGTGAATTTTCAGCGGATCTCCTGAGCCAACTCCCACTTCATCTTCGGATAAAAAAAGAAAAGGCAAAAAGGGAAAAGTGGGAATTATTTGAGTATTTAAAAATTCAAAAATTTAGACTCCTGAAGATTCGAGAGATTTAGCAATTCAACAATTACAACAGGAATTAGAATATGAAAGACAAAAGTGTAATGAGTGAGTTGGAAATTGAATTTGGTTTGATGTTTAGAGCTAGAGATTTAAAGGATTTTGATTTGAATTAGAGCTAAATTAGAGCTAAATTAGATTTGAATTATTAGGTTGGCAACTTAATAATGACGCGTTTATGTAACAAATCATTTATTTTAAAAAAACACAAAAGAAGAGCCTTCAATTCAAAAGGTATTCTCCATTACTATCTATGACTTCTTCCCATCTTCTTCGAGGATGAGATCCGGGATTTGCGCAGAAGATGAGAAGAAGAGCAGCTATAA